GGCCTATCTATCTACTCTTTACCCTCTTATCCCACTGCCGCCCTATCACAACTTCTCACTTGTTTAAATTAGAATCATCAAAATGTGTGCCCTTTTGTGGCAAACCGGATGTGGCCTCTTCACACTTGGTATTTACCCCTCCCCCTCTCTTTCGATGGGCTTATTCCACTCGGGCCTCCAATCCGGATCCCTTCATTGTCTCGCAGATCCGTTCCTTATCTTTCTGGCTGACCGATTTCACTCGGGTCCAGTCCCTGTATGCATTTCACTATTGGCGCTATTTCTCAAGGCCTTAGAAGCACATACACTCCCGCTTCACTGAGCGGAGCGCTTAAGCTCTCACTCGAAATGGAAATAAGCTCAGCATTTCATCAACTTAAACGAAAACGGGTGAATACAGAAGTGGGTTGACCTCGTTTTCGCAATTTGGTCCCGCTGCCAGGGAGACTTAGTTGAACGTATCTTGTCCGAAGTCCTCTGTTATAGTAGTTATCATAGCTCCCAGCATCAGACCGTGGACTTGGTACATTTTCAAAAAGTCCACAGCCTGATGCTGGGAATTTCGTTAACTATTATGGCAGAGGACTTTAGATAAGGTGTGTTCAGACAAGTCACCCTGAGAAGACCAAGTTGCGAAAACGAAGTCAACTCACTTCTATAGATCGCAAGGAGACCACGACCATACCGAGGGCCACGCCATCCTGGAGGAAATTCAAGATCTACGAGTAGTCTCAAAAGCCTACTTAAAAACGAAAATAAGTAATGTGGTTGATTACTAAAGCAGATACAACTGTGCTTGATATAGAATCCCAGAAGAGAAAGGCCCAGACTTCCTTGAAACTCATTACTGCTCTGTGACCCGATGGCACTCGTAGCAGTGATGTTCCGGGAATATATAATGCACTACCTTGATTAGAGTACCATTGTGGGAGCTGATGGGACCTTGTCTAGTTCAAAAATGAAGTCCAACCTGAATAAATGTCTTTGGGGAAGAAAATCTATGCAAATTTCAATGAAGGTGAGGCATATTGATGTCAATGTAGAAAAATGCTACTTCCAGCTTATCATCACATTATACGAAATAGAGTGAACACAGTTTTTATATCGTAGATATAAAGACCAAGATAATGTGGCCTTTTGGTTGGTCGCAGTCTCCTTTAACTTTAGAGTGTCGGTTCGACCTCGTTTTCGCAACTTGCGCGGAGCGTGAGGGAGGCCTTGAGGAATGTACCTAGTCTTGTGTCCTTTTTCGTAGTATTAGTGATGTCCAGCATCAGACCATTGACTTGGTACATTCCAAAATGTTTCGCTAGCATCGTCAGGTGCGCCATTGTTAGAACAGAATTACAACCTATAAAATGGACAAGTTAGAATAACCAAATCACTTTAGGCCTCATTAAAAAGCCCAGATATAGGGTGTAAAAGCCGGTAAGTATTCTTGACTCAGCCTGTAATATGGTTGCAAGAATAAGGCTCAGCTGAACGAGATTTATTTGGAAACAGCATCAACAAGAATAATTCATGTGAGAGTAGGGTTTCGACCTACCTTGTTTTCGCAACTTGGTCATATTGGTAGGAAGACTTAGAGGAACGCACCTTGTCTCTTTGACGATTTGTAATATGGTGCTATGAATGGCAAAACTAACTGAAGATGCCGCCGAAACGTCTGGGAATGTACCACGTCCACGATTCGACTTTGGAAATGATTATGCATACAATAGACTTTGGACAATGTGCGTTCCTCTCATTCTTCCTACCAATATGACCAAGTTGCGAAAACAAGGTCAAAAAACTTCTATACAACGAAAGGAGACTGCGACCACACAAAAGGCCACCCCATCTTGGTCTTCATACCTTCGATTACCTTTCACTTCATTCGAAGGGACGAATGAAAGTAAGTTGGTCTCACCGGAAGCCCAAGGAGGGTTGCTCTGGTACTGTGACTAGATTTATGCGAATAAGCCCTCGACTCACTGTCCTTATGCTTTAGGTGGGACCAACTTACGAATCCCTTCGGCTCTCAACTTAAGATGTAAAAAAGACACTCCAGCCCCAATCTATTAAGGGACTCTTAAAAAAACAATTTTTCTTTTATACCTTAATGCCAACTTACCATCGTCACTTGTGCTATGTGAAGTTTGCTTAAATGTATATAATCAATTACAGATTAGTCTGATAAATTGTAACTCGATGCTGTTAACCGATGTCGATAAAAACCTGGGAACGTAGTAGGTCAACCAATAAATTAAAAAAAGGCAGATCATTACGAGCGCGATCTTTGATGCTTCCTAACTTCATGAAAATCTTCCAAAAATTAGACAAAACCAAATCTATACTGAATTAATTTACAGAAATGGTTGGGTTTAATGTGTGCTTATATATCCTCAATATACAAATCCTGTTATAAGGGATCATCCGAAATAGATCCCTTCGCGCTTGAATGCCAGCAGAAGGCGAAGAAAGTCATCTTCGTCCATAGTGCGTGCACGCTTTCCGTCAAATCCGGAAGCGCGCAAAATTTCGGCAATCCTAGATTCCATTGCAAACACATCATCTGTTGCAGTGCAAGAAACAAGGGGTGTTGTCAGAAAGGATGAATTAGCTTTCAAGACGGTCTGACAATTGTGGTAAAGCAATTTTGCGACTGCTTGACCCTGAAAGTTTGCGGATAGCTTTTTATTCTTTCGTAGAAAGGCCAGGCGCAGAAGGCCATCCCATTCCCTTATTGACACTGGTGGTTTAGGGTGCCGGGGTTCTAGACGAACGACTGCAGAATCAACTCTAGGTGGAGGACGAAAGCTATTCCGGCTTACCTATTCAAAAGGGTGGAGAGAGTAAAAAAATGTAAAATAGTGAAATCTGATTTTCAAAGAATCTTATAATAAGTTAATGAAGTTGTACTTTTTAAGGAGGCTGTTAGAGTTAAATCGGAGATATCTAGCGAACAGGTAATTCGAATTAAAAATTAGCAAGACTTACAGGAACGCACCTAGTCCGGAGTCCATTGTATGCCATGATAATTTCCAAAGTCGGACCGTGAAAGTGGTACATTCCCAGACATTTCGCCAGCATCGTAGTCGGCATCGTCAGTGAGTCTTGCCATTCTTAGCACCATGCAACAACTCGTCAAAGAGACAAGTGAAGCCGATCCTTTGATCAAACGTGTGCTAAACACTTGTGGTATCTCTCTTTTTGCCCTAGGCTATTTACATTTCTTATATTCTCCTATCACTCTTTTTCTTTTTCAATTTTTAACATGCCTATTTTGATGTAGTTTGGTGTGCTCCTTTGAGCGGCTTTCATGAAAACCATTCACACTCCAT